ACCACCAGGTCTTGAAGTCACGTCTCACACCTCTCAGGAAATGGCTCACCCCACCAAGTCACATCCCCCTCCTAAGCACAGGGCTAAAGTCACAAGATACTATGAGTTTCTCATGGCCAAAACCAAGGGGACACAACAGCTGAATTTTCAAAGGAAAATAGACTGCATATATAGAGGTAGTCAGGTCTGAGCCAAACAAGGCAGGCATATTTCAGAGAGAACATAACCTCCTGTCACACTGCATTTGTTTTAACCCTCTGTCTGTGCACAGAGCCGCTGGGCAAGCCTGGTGATGTGAAATAATCTGTGCTGGGGATTGGTATCACCAGGCTCTGACACTGTTCTGGCTCACCAATGCCATGGTCTCCATCACACCAGGGATGTGCCCAATGTACTTTTTGTACTAGTACAAAAGTGAAAGGAGTTCAGCCCAGCCCCTTGGTCACAGGTCACACTCAGGACACTGTGACAGCACCATCTCCCTTTCACTCCCCAGTGCTCAGGCACCTGGACACCCTCTAGGACAGCCTGAAGCATGGCCAACTCCCATTTCTGACCTTGCAGTAAGACACTGGCTGTATCCCCCTCACTGTGTCCCAGCTGGAGGTGAACACCGTGGGCTGAGCAGCAAGGCAAGCCCCCTCTTTCCTGCAGAGGACTCTGGCAAGGAGGAGCTCTCAGAGACACAGCTGAATATCCACAATGGACAGGCAGCTTGGGCCACCCTGCTCAAGCTCTTCCTTGTTAAAACTGTGAGGACTAGAAAAATGACAACTCTAAATGAAAAACATGACATAATTTTAAGATCTCTACATGAAAGCCTAAATGGGCCTCAATATACAGATCTTATGTCTATACATTGGGAAGACCTGATAAACCTCTAAAAGCATTTGGAGGTTGTAAAGAGCTTTGTCACAATGACTAGAAGCAATCAAAGGAAAATTAAGTACTCATATAAAGATTTCCTCCTAGGCAGAATGAAAAAACCTCAAAACCTATGCCTAGCATGCATTAACAATTTTTGCTATCAGGGCCCTGTTAGAGAAGCTGGAAATTATATGGTATTTTCCTGCCAGCAGCAACTCTGGAGCAAATGTAGTTATATATGCAACCATAAAAATGTGTCTGGACAACAATTAATTTAATTATCCAGGGATTGCTTCTTCAGGGACAAGGTAACCAGGGATATTTTAAACTTAACTCTTAACAGCAAAAATATGGTTTTATTTTTTCTTAAACTTTCTCTAAATTAATGAAATCAGGTTTGTGTGACCACTGTCTCTTTTTTGGTCAGTCTCCTAATACATGGAGAGGGACTTTTTGCAAGGGCATGTCATGACAGGACAAGGGTAAATGGCTTCAAACTGAGAGTAGGTTTAGATTGTATATTAGGAAGAAATTCTTCACTGTGAGGGTAGTGAGGCCCTGGCACAGGTTGCCCTGAGAAGTTGTGGCTGCCCCATCCTGGAAGTGCTCAAGGCCAGGTTGGATGAGGCTCTGAACAAACTGGTCTGGTAGAAGGTGTCCTGCCCATGGCTGTGGGATTGAAACTAGATGATCTTTAAGGTCCTTTCCAACACAAACCTTTATATGATTCTGTGATAGGATTTGAACTTTTTGGCCAATTTAAATTAAAACTGATGTAGAAATTGAGATCTTCAAGATACCAAATCTTTGCAAATTTACTCAGGTTGACAAGAGACTGCTAAATCTCCACTTCTAAAAACCTCAATCTCGGGTTTAGTGACCAGAGAATTCACGCAGAAGACAGCTACCAAAAAGAAAAAAACAGAACAATAAACCCTGCTGGAATGACAAGACTGTGCACAGACTGTGTCCCTGTAGAGTCCTAGAAGGAACAGGGTGATGTGACACCTGACAAGCCAGAGGAGTTTGAACACAGCCAAGGCTGCACAGCTGGTTACAAATCACTGCATGGCAAAACCCCATTGCCTCCAGGACTGAGCAGCAGAACTGCTCACATGTTAGTTATTTAAAGGGGTGTGTTTGTCTTGTCAGCAAAGCCATGACTGCATGTCTCACTGCTGCCTACTCTTGCCACATATTCTGGGATGCTTCCCAAGCACCAGTTGCTCAAGTCACATAAAGCAGGATCTCAAACTGCACATTTAAAAGATGACTTTGTAGCCCTGAGAGCCTGAGAAAACCTCCCCAGCTTGACATTCAAGAGGCTGAAGAACCAGCTAGCTGGAAAACTCACCACAGGGCCTATCTCCCCCTGCTTCTCCACAGCCTTGGTGTTTCACAGCCTGTCTTACCCTTGCTGGATGCTCAGAGCTGGCAGCAGTGATGTGAGAGCACATTCTCCAGCTGAAGCTTAAAACTTTTTTATTGCAGGTACAGGCACATTTTTTACTGTGAGTCCTCTTGGCACAGATGCCTCAGTGCTGAGGCACTCCCAACACAGACAAAAGCACAACAGGTTTCTCTCCTGACAAATAGAGTGAAGATCAATGTAAACAGCTTCTGAAGCAGCTTGTAATTTTTCATAACACAACACAGTCTGCTTTTCCCTTAGAGATAGCTCTCTCAGTTTTTACCATCTTAATTTCAAAAAGCAAGCCACTTCTGGACTTCTGTCATGGCTTCTCCTTCTCAAGGGAAGACATAAAATCTCCCTTTTTGCCTTGGTGGGACACAAATAAAAGCAAGTCTGCAAAACAGAAAGGAACAAAACTAAATGTCTTCTAAATGCTTCCAGCCCTTACCTGGGTATGACTCCATGCAGATGTAGGCACCTACAAGGCATCAGAAACTTCTTTGTCAGAACACAAGGGGCACAGCAGGATGGAAAACTACTTGTCAGGGAAAGGAAACTACACTGAATCCAGACACAGCACTTTTTCTTTGCTGCAGGAGGCACACTGCACTACCCCACAGGCACAGCTTTTAGGACGTCAGTGGGATAATACTCTGTGGGAGCTGTGGAGAAGTATGCCAGCATTGGGAGGGGAGAGAACTGCCAGAGGGAAGCAAGTAGCTGTCTTTCATGTCATCCTGCTTACCTGGGAGGAGGCAGAAGCCTCCTATTCTGATGTCCACCTAACACCACACTCCTTCACAATCAGTACTGTCCCCCTTGCTTTTATTCAACCTTAGATCTATTTCAAACCAAGCCAATACAGAAAGGTGGCCACAAGGATCCCATGGACAAAATTAGTGTGTGATGCTCTGAGCAATAGGAAAGAGAAAATATATTTCCTAGGCTCTGGTCCCACTCCAGAATTGCTTTGCTTTTGCAAAAGCACATACCACTGGTAAGCAGAAAAGAACGCATCACCAGATTAATGAACATGCTGGTAATAGCCAGCCAGCCCAGACAGGGAAATTGAGGTAGACTAGAAGTAAACAGAAGTCAGCGCCTGCAGACAGGCAGCACAGCCTGACCTGCTCAGAGCACTCATCCACTCACAGGTATGTCAGAAAATATGATTGTCTGCAGCCAGGTAATGAAGAGTCTGAATGGGAACCCCCCAGCCTGGGGCCTGTGTGTGCAATCCTGGGCTGCACCAAGGGTTTTGCCCACAATTCACTCACACAGGGGCTTCCTATTCCACACGGCAAAGCCACCAATCACACTGCATCCATGGACAATATGGAATACACAAAACGTAGTGTGTGGAAGTTATTTTACTTTCATTGTAACCATGTAGAATTTTTAAAAGTCTGTAATTGTTACATCTGTGTCTCCCAATGAAAGTTTTCAAGCCTGGGAAGCCTCATTGTTCTTTTCCTCACCAAGGGAAGCGTGTCAGCTGCTGTCACAAGACAGCTGTTGGAACACCTCTGGAACCATAAAGGGCAAGGAAACTGAGGAGGCTTTTGGTCTGAAGGATGTCACAGCAGTCAGAGATCAAAGAGTCAGCCCATTTCCAGATTTATGAGTTGGGAACAGGTCTATTAACTCCCAGTACTCACTCTTTTCCTGAGTATCTGTTCAATATACATTGACAGTTGTCTTAATGGGAAGTCTGACACTGAAAACCACCAAGCTCCTGGGCAGTGTCTTTCAGTTTTGTTCTCTGCTAGCTCAGAATCAGATCCAGGTGGGGAAGTCCTAGAAGCACCTCAGATGGGATCCCCTCATTCTGCTCCATCTGGCAGTGTCCTCTTGCTTGTACAGCTGTCCTGGGGGTATTGGTAACTCATAGGTAGGAATCCCATATCTGGATTGAAAAAACCCAACCAACAAACCCCAGCTGTTGTTACTATACAGTTGATTTAACTTGGGTTAATTCCCCGAGCACACTGTGTGGCCTGACACATGCTCAGCTAAAGGGAAGGCATCAGGACAGGGATGAACAGTGGGGGGCCTGTGGGTGCCAGCAGCTCTTTAAGCCTGGCCTGCTGCTGAAAGAAAATCACATGTATGTGCATGAAAAAACACATTTCCTCAAAAACCTGCTTTCTCTGGCAGCCTTAATCAACCTTAACCAAATCCTAGAAACTATATTCTTAAAATGGTATAATTCCAAGCAGGATTAAATCCTTCAGAAAAGAAACCTCTGCTATGTTCTCTGGAGTATTATTTGATGTAAAATACAATAAATCATTCATCATGTAAACATAATCTGGAATAATTTTCTTTTGCTGCCACCTGTGGCATCTTTTAAATCTGCAAGCAGTCTGCAGAGTGATTCAACCCTCCATGAGTTTTTCACTAAAAACCTTAAATAATGCTGTCTGTGCTTTGTGGATCACCACTCAGCTTTCTCACCACTGTGCCCAACTGAGAACATTGTACAAGTCTCATGTGCCTGACTGCTCTCTGCAGGCTACAGCCCAGACAGCAGATTTTGGGAACAACCTTGAAACTTCAGTCACAAAAGCATCTGGACTGCTGCACATGTAAAAGCACAAAGATACAAATGTTTTACGAACAAAACTTATAAAAACAGCTTTTAACAATTTTAACATTATTTTCTGTACAAAGTAATTTTTCTTAGGAGACAGTTATAAAAAGTAATATAAGGACAAACCATTTTAAGTGCCTTGGTGTTGATGAGGTGTGCAGGCAGCATTTCAGCACGAGACCTCTCCATCTGGGAATCAGTTATGGCAGAAGCACACAGGATGTGCCAGTGTAATGTGTAAAGGCATTAGCAAGTGGTGGAAAAGGTGATGACACCAATGTCTGCCTCTGCCTTGTATGAGCTGCTGTGGCTCTCCAGGTGCATTTAACTTGCATCTTAAACAGAAAGAGATGTTTTTGCAGCAGCAGGAAGCTGTACACCACTCACACAGCTGGCAGCGAAGCACTGCAAGTGGAACAGTCGCGGCCAGGGGAAGAGATAACTTCTGTTTGCTTTATGTCTCGCACCAAGCACGATCCACTACTTGCCAAAGCAGTCATCAGCTCGAGGGCATCTACCTCCACACCAATAGCTGGAGAGAGTGAACTCCATAACCCTTCCAGCCCAGACGTTGTATCAGAAATAACCCAGCCGCTGCTCTGGTCCTCTCCGGGGTGCCAAACTCCCAACACCCGGTAGTTTTGCATGCGGATGCAAAGCCCGCTCCCTTCTCCCTCTTGCTGTCTATTTTTCGGGCGGGGAGTCGAGGGCTGCCAGCCATCACCCACCCCGTCAGGCACGCATAGGGCATCACTGGCTCCCCTGGGCTGAGCAAGGCAGGGGCCGCCCCAGCCGGGCACCCCCCGGCAGCCTGGGGCGCGGGGCCCGGCGGGGTGCCCGGAGCTCACCTTCCCCGCGGGGCCGTGCCGCCCCTCGCACCCCCGCCCCTGCCGAGCCCCCTCCCCGGCTATAAAGCGCGGCGGGCCGTCCGGGCCCGCTCCTCGCCGCTGCCATGGCCGCGCTGCGCTTCGGAGAGCCCCCGGCGGAGCCGCCCGCCTTCCCCGCGGGCAGGTGGGCGGGAGGCGGCGGGCCCGGCCCGGCCTCGCCCGCCCTCAGGGCGCTTCCCCCGGCGGAGCCGTCCGAGGGGGCGCCGGCGGCCTCGCAGCGTCGGAAGCGGACCAGCTTCACGGCGGCGCAGCTGGAGACGCTGGAGCTGGTTTTCCAGGACACCATGTACCCCGACATCTACCTGCGGGAGAAACTGGCCGACGCCACGCAGATCCCCGAGTCCCGCATCCAGGTGAGGGGCGCCGGCTGTGCCGCGCCCGCCGCGCTCACCGCCCCGCCGCGCTCACCGCCGCCTCTCTCCGCAGGTCTGGTTCCAGAACCGCCGCGCCAAGTCCCGCCGCCAGCGCGGCCCGCCCCGCCCCGGCCCCGCCGCGCCGCCGCCGGGCTGCCTGCGGCCGCCCCGCCTCGCCGCCCTGCGCGCCCCGCAGCGGCCCCGCGGCGCCCTGTCCGGGGTGGCCCGCACGGAGGACGGCTCGGTACCCTACGCGTGGCCGCCGGCCGCCAGCTTCCCGCCCGGCCCCGCCTTCGAGGGCTTCCCGCCCGGCCAGCCCGGCGGGGCAGAGCCCGGCCCGTTCGTGGGGAGCGCGGCCGGCCCCTTCCCGCCGGCCCGCGCCTTCTGCGGGCAGTACTCGCCCGTGTCGGACGCCGAGGACACCAGCGGCTACTCGGAGTCGGGCTCGGAGTGGGACGAGAACGCGCTCGGCGCCTTCCGCGCCCTCTGAGCGCCGCCGCGGCGGGACGCGCCCGGGCGGGGAGCAGTCACACACCGCGCTACCTCACCACTGCTGCTCTGCCACTGTTGCACTTTATCCGGTAGTAACTGATTCTACCTATTTATTTAAGAAAGATACGGGTCGGCTCCATCAGCTGAGGGCATCTTTTTACACTGTATTTAAAGTTTTCTTGTATCATGTTTAGTATATCTATTTAACCTTCTTTAGCCAAAAAGCTAACCCATATCCACTGTGTTCTGGGGGTGGGGGCTGGTCTTAAAAAAGTGATGGTCTGTTGGGGTTTTTTGACCAAGGAAAATAAAGTACAGCTTTACATTTTTCATCTGCTTGTGTGTGTACCTGGTGCAGGGGCAAGGTTTCTTACCTTGGCGGGGTAGAGAAGTGTAGATATCCCAGCTGCAGTTTCTCCTCCCAGGTCCTGGAGAGCTACGGCTGCAGTTCAGATATCAGTAAGAGACCTAAGGGGCCCAAAGGACAGGTTACAAAAACTGCCTTAAACTTTCTCTGTCAGTATTTGTCTTAAATCCAAACTAAACAAACACCCCCATCCCTAAATGAATATGGAAATGTCTGGCCTAATTAATACAAACCCCAAAATCTCAAGTGCTCAGACAAAAGCCTCCAGTCTGCCATCTAAGCCAAGGTTAATGTTAAACTAAGAGAAATGGGAGTATTTTGTGGACATTATAAGGGTGCTTTAGCTGTAGGCAGGGACTGCACAGAAGCTGTTCACATGATGGCTTGTGGGCTGAATGGCTCTGCATTGAGAATGGCAAAATCAGTTAACAGAACTCTCTCCTCCAAGTCAATTTATTGAGGAAGGATACATTACTCTGTATGTATTTTGAGCATATGGCAAATTCTTCCTGCTTACAAAATAGCACTTCAGAGCCTAGTAGAGCAAATTGCAAGTTATGGAAAAGCAGCTGAATGCCAGCAGCACAGGAAAAATGACCCATGTACTGGTGGCAGAAATACCCTGTATGAGGAATCATACCCCACAGAATAAGGTTACCAATGCACAAAATCCCTCAGTGCCACCCTGTAACACACCTGTGCTTGTGAGATCCAGGATAGCTGAATACTGGTTGGACTGCAAAGCTTGCAAGGTGAACTGGCATGGTAGGGTTGCTGATTAGTAGTCTTCATAAAAAAAAACCCCAGAGCTATCATTGAAAAAAACACGAACCAAAAACCAACCAACCTACCTCAGACACCATCTGTCCCAAGTGGACTTGGGTGCTATGCTGGGGACCAGGAAAACCCCAGAAGAGAAGCACTTGCAGGAAAAGATAGAAAATGTGTCCATGGTTCCTTGGGGGCTCAGGGTAAATTCAAGTTTATTGATTATAATAAATCAAAGTAAATTGTTCTGCTCCTGCAGACTTCAGGTATAGTAGTTGCAGTGAACTCTTGAGACTCCTGCTATGCTTGGGGTACACTCAGCAAAAGCATTTCTATTTGTTACTGTCACCAAAATTCAACATTAGCTCTGACTAACACATCAGTACCCAAGAAAAAATGCAGCCTTTCAAAGAAAAGAAAAGAAGTGCATATTCACATTGCCTACATGAATGGGACAAATGACATGTGAAAGTAAATAGCTTATAATAAGGGACAGATTATTCTATTATATACTTAAACCATGAATTAATTATTATTAATTAAAAATTAATTTAAAATAATTAATTAAAAATAAATTTTAAAACCTACAGCAACAGAAAACATGCTGGACAGCACATTTAAGTATCCACATGTAAAAAGCATCATACCTAAGGAATCAGAGTTGAGAATGGAGAGTGGTGGTTATTCCAGTGCATTCTGTGTCCAGTAGGATAAAAGACTGTCATGAAAAGCAAGTTTCCAAATCCTCTGGTATCTACTAGTGTCTACAACTTGTCTCCCTCTCAGTTTGGGATGTTTGCCATCAACAGGGCCAAATGACTCCTGGTGTTTTGTACTGGGAAGTCCTGCTGCTCAAAACATTCAGTGCACATGCTGAGCTTGAGTCCAATAGCAGGAGGGGTCAGAGCAGAGGTGTGCTGAGGGAGCAGCAGACACATGAGTATAGGGGTGCAAGGGGATGGTTCCTTCTTCCCGAGTTAGCTGTTGAGCAGATTACAGCCTGACTAAACTTATGTACCTTAAATTAGGCTTTGGCACATTTCTCTTTTTTACATGAAAAGGGTGGTGGGAGAGGACTCTATCAAACAGATGGTAACACCACAAATATCACAAGTGATATAATTACAAAAGCAACTGCAGGGATGACTATGATGTGCTGTTGCATTATGAGAGGTAAGTTTTCCTGGGTACCTCAGCTAAATTACTGTTTATCATTATTTTATAGTATCCCTTGTAAAATTTTTGAATACCTTTTAAAATAGCTACTCACCTCATCCTCATAACATTTGATTTTCAGCAATTAGCTTCTCTTAAAAAAATGACCTGAGACCATCTGCAAAAAATTTTGCATTTTTGTGAAATATATCAACTCTCATAGGTCAATTTATTCAGTTACAAATTTCATTGAGAATAAAAGATTTAGGCATTTCTCTTAATTAACAGAACAAATATAGCTAAATATAAACTCTGCACTAAAGTTTTGCAGTGGCACAATACCAACACAGAATACAGAAGCATCTTTAAACTATACAAAATTTTAAAATTGAAAATAACCCTGTTTACATATTCTTTATACATTAACATATAAAAGACCTTATTTAATGAGGCATCTAAAAGAATCAAAAACATCTCTACAGCTATCTCTGAAAATCCATATCTGGAAACAATTCATTACACAAAAGCTTTACAAGACTATTTAAACAAACCAATACACACTTTTTACAAGATTAACATTCCAAAAGGTATAGGCAGGCTATCACTTCTTATTTTTGCAGTTTACCTCACTGGTTACCTTTAATTATTAAAAACTTCATATTTATACATGGTGGGTACTGTTGAATAACCAGTAATCTAATTTAAAACTTGTGCAAAATGAACAAGAATTTGGAAAAACGTAAGTTTAACCAGTCACTTATATAAAATACCACCTAAAGAACTATTGTCCTGTGTGAAGGGAAAAAAGCCATAGCCAATCTCTTTCTGGAAAGTTAAGTTACATTTTTATATTCCTTCATTAGACTCCTTCCATAAGTTATGATAAATTAAGATTTGCAACAAGACATTGACTGATTGATAGACCTGCCCAACATCCTCAGTTTACAGCTTATGTTTGCTGGCTGTATCCTGCTGCTGCTTCCTTAGGTCAGGGCTTCCCAAGGGCTCAGCTGGCAGCTCTGAAGAGCTACACAGAGGTGTAGCTTTACACAACAAAGACCTGCCATGTGGCTACTAACTCCAGCCATTTCCTCTTCAGCACTTCTAACATACCAGGAGATCCAACAGCAAGAGGTGTGCTGAATTAATCTGAACTTTTAAAAATGAAGTTCAAATTATATGAAAGTATGCTTTCAAGTTTACTATAATCAATGCAATTACTAAGAGATTACCAGTTAGCAAAACTACTGCATGTGAATAACAAATAGAGAAATCTAATGTAATGCTGGCCAGAAATGCTGGTTTCCTTAAGAAGCAGATAGAATATATTTTAAAGGGTCCTTTCTGAGAGGTTTTCTCTTCCCTTATCTTCTGGCAGTTAGGGTATTTGGTGAAGCCTATAGAAAGGAAGATTTTCCAGAACTACTTGCTGTACACTTGAAAGGAAGTTTTCAGTCTCTGTTGGTGTTATTGGCTGCAAAAGCATGTAAGTTTCCCATCTGGCTCAGACCACTCTGAATATGTGCAACGTGGATCTCAACATTATTCTGAAAACAACTGTGGGAAGAAAAAAAGAAGGAAAGAAAGCAATGTTGAACCCAATATGTAAGAGTTATGTCCGAATATCTCTACAGTGAAAAATCAAGATGTGAGCCTAGCCAGTATAAAAATCCAGGTGAATCAGAGAGCAGTACATACAAATGCAACTTGACAGAGAAACATGGGAAAACACAACTTGCACAAACAGCTGCCAGAAATGAAGAGCCACTGACTTAAACACTTAAAGTAAGGTTTTAACATGACCAGAATTAGTGAAATTAAAATATTATTAAGAGATGCTCAAATGGCCAAAATAAGTACCATGAAATGGAAACATCATCACGTTCTTTCCTGGGTACATCAACCTTTACTTGAATCAATTCCGATATGCAATTTGCAGCATTGACTATAAAGAAGTTTCACTAATGTTTGAGGTTTGGTTTTGTTTTTCCTAATGAAAATTGTATGAAAGAGCATTTCTCAATAACTACATTCAAATCAAAAGGCCATCCTACTATCTTTGGGAAAAAAAAATTAAAATTCATGTGTACAGCCTCCTGTCATTATGTAGCAATACAAGTAGTAAGGATATAAAAAAATATGTTTATTTTCTGAATGACATCATTTAGCAGCATAAAATGCTTGTCACAAATTGCTGGAGGCTGCAGGGTACTCCAGACAAGTATCACTACACTCTTGCTACCACATTCTTGCTATTTTTATGATTCTTCCTCAGGCAGCTGCTTGTGACAACTGTTGAAAAATGGCCCATCTAGACTAGATTGGCCTTTGGTCTGGCACAATATGGCTGCTCTTCTGTTTCTTGGCTTAAAATCTTGCCAATGGAAGCCGATCAAAATGTCTAATTGTCTCATATGCCACCTTTTGGTATTTACAGATGAGTATGCTAAAAGAATATGGAAATTCTACTGGTTTAAAAAACTTGTATTCCTAGTGAGATTTCAAAATCTGACAAAGGTTTAAAGTAAGTTTTTATATGTCATAAATTACTAAAGAACAATAATGTCTAGTTGTTGTTGCATCAATTTAGCACTTTAAATTTTTTTTTTAACATGTTACTTCACTGAGAGGTTCAAACAGAAAATTGCTAATTTCACATTCCCTTAAAGCAGCCCCTCTTTTAGATGGGACCCTTCCTATAAGTAGAA